ACTGGGGAACTCTAGGAAGAGTTCTACTGCTGAACCACACCCCCAGACTCTCCCTGGGGGATTCTGTGCAAGTGCTGTACTAACCAAGTACATTTCTAGTTGCCCTTTTCATTGTTTTGAGACAGGATCTCATGTAGCCCAGACTGGCCTTGGATTTGCCATATAGCCCTGACAGCCTTAAACTCCTGACTTTTCTGCCATCGCCTTCCGAGTGCTCACATTGCAGAGATGCACCAGCCCTAGTGGCTTCACTTTGTGCATTTTCAAGTTCTGAAGAGGGACCTGGGCTGGATAAGGATAGCCCTCCAACCACAGAGCAATACGTAGCCACAGTTTCTGCATGCGCAGATTCAACCAAATGTGCTTAAAAAGTACTAGGCAAGGATAGAAGGTGTGACGGCAGGAAAACCCTTACCTGCAACTGAAGCTTGTGACTTCCGTCCCCAGCAATCAGTCAATCACACAGAAGTACCCAGGCTCTAGGCTAATACCACCTCCTCTGTGTAAAGGACTTGAGTGTCTGTAGATTTGGGGGGTATATGTCATAATCCAGGCAAACCTGGCTCTGCGTATCACCCCTATGCACATGGCCAGCAGTACCACGGCTCTGTATGAAGGTGTGGAGATCCTTGTAAGAGGCAAGCTCCGCCCACTTCCACTGTTCCTTTTCCGCCATTTCTCTGAGGAGGCAGACAGATCTCTGTCTGTCTCTCTGTCTCTTTTCTTTCTCTCCCTCTCTCTCTCTCTCTGTCTTTCCCTTTCTTTCTTCTCTCTCCCCTAGCTGTCCCTTCCCCAACTTTCTTCCCTTCCCTATAAAACTTCTTTCCCATGTAAGTTCTGCCTGATGACATGTTTGTCCCCTGCCATGGGATCCCCCTATTCCTAACAGCATGAGGTCCTAGAATTCCAAGGGCTGACTGCAGTCAAGTGACCCTGTGGGGCCAGACCAAAGCATATGACAGCTAGCAACATTGTCCCCAAGAGAGGGCTGAGTATCCCAGAGGATGGTGTCCCACACAGAACCCTGACACTCAAGAGGCGTGGCCATCTTTACTCTGGGTGTCTAGAACCAGCTGGTATGGTACCTATGCTTCCTGATGCCTAAGAGGCGTGGCCATCTTTACTCTGGGTGTCCGGAACCAGCTGGTATGGTACCTATGCTTCCTGATGCCTAAGAGGTGTGGCAATCTTTACTCTGAGTGTCTGGAACCAGCTGGTATAGTCCCTATGCTTTCAGAAGCTCCTCTGACCCCTCTGGATCCAACCAGTGATTGGCATTGGCTTACTCTGCATGTCCTTGGCCACTTGCTCCCTTCCTGGTCCGTGGTCCCTTGGCTAGAGAGAAAACAGTCGGCTTAGGGATGTCGGAGATCCCCATGGCTTAGACAGTCTGGACATTGGTGGCCTTTGCCACCCACTCCCCACAGCCTCAGGGAGATGCCTGGCTTGAATGCCCCTCATCCTGTCCTTGGTCACCTTCCAACCTGTTGTCTAGGCCTGGAATGGTGCCTGGCTTGGAGGGGCTCTATTTAAAGAGCCACTCTGAGCTGTCCCCAGACCTGTTGCAGCACTGGAAAGCACGCCAGACCATGGTAGGCTGGGGCCACCTTCCCTGCACCCCACGGCCCCCATGCAGCTTAGCATCCCAGCTTTGGTTCCCTGCCTGCTCCCCTCCCAGCTCCAACCTCAGTCCTGACCTCCTCGCTCAACTCTGGTCTCGTCTTCAGGACCTCGCTGCCTGTGTGATTCTGGACTTTCCCTTCTCAACTCTGACCTTGCTCCTTTCACTGTCCCTCAACTGGCCGCTATGGGCCGTCCGACTGTGTGTTGATACTTGAACTTGGTCAATCCTGCGTTGCCTCTGCCGGGTACCCAGCCTCAGAGGTGTCCAGTCTCATCCATGCGGCTTCTTTTTGTTTGTGGCGTGTGTTTGCATGTGTTCCCAAGTTTTCTGTTTTGTTTTTGAGACAGGACCTTTTACTGTTAGCTGGGGATTACCCATCGGGCTAGAAAGGCTGCCCCACGAGGCCCAAGGACCCTGTTCTGTCGTCCCTAGCACTTAGATGGTAGGTGCCCGCTACCAACATCCGGCTGCCCTTTCACATGGGTCTGGCTCTCGGGCAAGCAAGACCATCGCTCTGCAGACCGAGCTTCCCCAGCCTCTCGTCCACGTGGGTTCTGGTTTGATGGTCATTGATTCCGCAAAGGCAGAAGTTGGGGGAGGGACAGTGACCTGGCCTTACTGGCATCATAGAACAGGGCAATGTTCCCACTGGGAGGGTGCGGTTCCTGCTGCCTGCTGGGCAGCGGCTGAGATTGCAGCATGCTGGAGGTGAGGGTCTCTCTCAGGCCCTGCAGCTGTCCCCTGCCCTGTGACTCAGCACCTGACCTTCCTTTTACCACCTTGTATTAACAGCCCATCTCCTGCAGGCCTATAAGCTCTTTGGAGACAAGGAGGGGGACTGATTCCTCTCAGGGTCCTAGGGACTAGACCCAGGCTTTGACTGGAGGCCGTAGATGTCTTGTCATCATTCTGAGGACTTGACGTTGTTCCTGGGTTTATAAGTGAAGACGGTCTGGGGCGTGGCTTAGTCAGGTGAACCCTTGCTCAGCATCCATGAGCTTTGCATTCCATCCTCAGCACCACACACACTGGGCCTGGTGACACACGCCCGCCATCCCAGCACTTGGAAGGTGGAGACACAGGGGTCAGAAATTCAAGGTCTTTCTTTGCTACACAATGAGTTTGAAGCTAGCCTGGGCTATGTGAGACTCTGGGGGGGGGAAGGTAATATAAGCAGGGCAATGGAGACTCAAAGACTGCGAGTGCCTTTTGTTGTGTGTGTGTGACCTGTGTACATGTCACAGGGAAGCGTATCTGCTCTGTCCCTCTCCACCACATTCCCTTGAGACAGGGTCTCTCACTGCATCTGGGATTGGTCTTGTCTCCATTCACCCTCGAGTTAGAGTTACAAGTGTGTGGGCAAATGCACCCGGATTTCCGTGTGGGTTCTGAGAATTTGAACTCTGGTCTTCCTGTGTCTCCCGGAAGCACTCTTACCCACTTGCCCGTTTCCCCAGTCAGGATATCTGCCTTTCTTATCATCACAAAAGCCAGGATGAAAACTGTGGTCTGGAAGACCCCCTTCTTCCTTGGAATGTTCACTTCGGGCAAATTTACCTTTCAGAGGGGCAGTGTGAACTTAAACTTCCAAACCAGATAAAAGACGGCCCCTTCATGCCTTACAGAGATCTAGACCCTAGGAAGGCCTGTGACCAGGTGAACTTGAAAGTCCAGGGTGGAGACGGCATACAGAGGTGTGTGTGTGTGTGTGTGTGTGTGTGTGTGTGTGTGTGTGTGTGTGTGTGTGTGTGAGAGAGAGAGAGAGAGAGAGACAGACAGACAGAAAGACAGAGAGACAGAGAGAGACTGTGTGTGTGTGTGTGTGAGAGAGAGAGAGACAGAGAGACAGAGAGAGACTGTGTGTGTGTGTGAGAGAGAGAGAGAGACAGAGAGACAGAGAGAAAGACTGTGTGTGTGTGTGTGTGTGTGTGTGTGTGAGAGAGAGAGAGAGAGAGAGGGAGGGAGGGAGGAAGGGAGAGGAGCACAGTCCCGAGAATGGGTAGGTATCCTGCCCGCAGAAGTGATCATTTTTTATTAATCAGAGGGAAATGTATATGTAATTATGTGAGATGAACTCAGCTTGGCAGGGACTTCTTTTCTTTATGGTATCTGAAGGGATTTATAAACATTTCCTAGGCTCACAGAATCCCATGTGTGGCCTCTTTGCCAGGCACCCCCTTTCAAAGGATTATTCAAGATTAGCACCCAGTAAAAGCTAATTATAAGTCACTGGGTTGTTGCTTCTGACATGTGCCCAGGAGCCCTAGGGAACTGAGGGGAGGGTGGGGAGGGAGTTGGGGGACCACACAGGTGCTAGGTGGTATCGGGGAAGCTGGGGAAACCCCGGCTGGGGGGACCAGCCAAATGCTTGGAGAGGGAGAGGGGTGTGGCTGGTGGGGGAGGGGACTGAGCCCAGACTTTGTTCCTCTCTGACAACAAGAGTCACTTTAAGGGGCTGGGGAGAGAACTGTGTTGGTCCATGTTTGCTCTGTAAACACGAGGTCCCAAGTTTGGCCCCCAGAACCCAGGTGGTGTCACAGCTTTGTAATCCCAGGGTTGGAGAGAGCAACTCTGGGGACAGAGATGGTGGGTCCCTGGGGCTCACTGGCCAGCCAGCCTAGCTGAATACATAAGCTCTGGCCAATGAGAGGTCCTGCCTCTAAAATATAACCGAGAGGTGGCTCAGCAGGTCAAAGGTGCTTGCTGTCGAGTCTGATGTCCCGGGTTCAAACCCCGGTTCCCACACGGTGGAAGAGGAGACTCAGCTCCTGAAAACTGTCCTCTAACCTACACACACACATACACACACACACACACACACACACACACACACCATTCTGGGGTGACAGGGCAGCTGGAAGTGGGTTTGGGGTGGGGAAAGGTTCCAGATGAGTGGATGGGGAGCTCCGAGATCCTGTCCAGGATGAACCTTGCAGGACTAAGAGCCTAGGCAGCTTGCTGAGAGTATTCCAGAAGCTTTTAACAACTGAACAAAGAAGGCCAGATTCCAGAAGAGTAGGGGGTTGCAGGGGTGACCAGGAAGCTGCATAGAAGGTCTGGGGATAGAGAAGTGTCCATTCCAATCCCGCCTGCTTTGGGAGCCTGGAGGAGGATGGGTGGCTGGGCCAGGAGCGGTTGCCCGCACTGCTTAGTGGACACGCTGCAGACTTCTTGCCTGAGCTGAGAAAAGTGAGACCATTGTATTAGTTACTTCTCTCATGCTAGAACAAAACACCTGACAACAGCAAGGTAAGGGAGGAGGGGAGGTAAGGGAGGAGGGGCTTGTGTTCCAGGATACAACCGGGCTGGGTTGTCATGGCAACAGGAGCGTGAGGCAGCTGGTCAGTAGCATCCACAGTCGGAAAGCAGAGAGGTGAACGCCGGTGCTCACAGACGTGTCCAGAGCGTCTCCACACCGACTCTAGACCCTGTCCGGTTGACAGCTGTTGTCAAGGTTGTGAAACTCCACCCGCTGGTCCAAGGACAATGGCACCTGGACCCTGTGTTCTGGGACCCATGGCCTGGCACTGGCGACGGCTGCTCTCTGGAGGAAGCGATGGCTACGAGGACTCACCTCTTCCCCACAGGCACCCAGAAGAGCCCGGAAGAGAGCAGAAGGCACAGCCAGTTCCAACGTCTTCTCAATGTTTGACCAGTCCCAGATCCAGGAGTTTAAAGAGGTTGGTCGGCGGGTCCTAGGGACCCTGGGGACCTGTATTAGTTACCTTTCTTTCACCCTGCAACAACATGCCTGACAAAGCAACTTAAGGAAGGAAGGGTTTATTCCGGCTCTCAGTCTGAGGGCGCCGTCCCTCGGGGTTGGGGAAGGCACAGCCGCAGGACTGGGAGCCGATCACGCAGCAGCGTCCAAAGTCAGGAAGCAGAGACAGAGGAGTGCCGGCGCTCAGCCCGCTCCTCCTTTTCATTCAGTCAGAAGCCCAGCTCGTGAGATGGAGGTGGGCTTTCCCCCTCAGTTAGTTAGCCCAGGCTAGAAAACCCTTCACAGAGGCGCCCAGGGGTGTGTTTCCATGGTCTAGTCTAGTGACAGCCATCCCAAGATTACCGCTGTGCTCTGAAATAAGACATGGAGTGTGGAGTCCCGAAGCACTCGGGGCAGAGTGCTCAGGGGGCCGGACTGCAGTTCCCAGGGTGCAGTGTACTCAAAGCTAAGTTGGGGCTCCGGGAGGTGGCCAGGGGAGGGGGCTCCTAACTGAGGCTGCTCCCGCGGCAGACAGACGGAGGGGCCAGCTGGTCTGGGCAGGGCCCTGGCGGCTCACGGTCGGTCCCTGTCTCCATCAGGCTTTCACTATCATGGACCAGAACCGGGATGGCTTCATCGACAAGGAAGACCTGAGGGACACCTTTGCCGCACTGGGTGGGTGAAGCAGAAGCAGAGGCAGCTTGGGATCTGGGCTTTAGATAGAGCTAAGGAAGCGCAGACCAAGGCAGCCATAGCGAGGGGCTTGAGAGCTGAGGAGAGAAGTGGGGGTAAGGTTTGCAGAGAGACAGGAGGCTAGGGGAGGACTTTTTGAGACAGGGTTTCTCTGTGTAGCTCTGTGGACCAGCCGGGCCTCGAACTCAGAGATCCGCCTGCCTCTGCCTCCCAGGTGCTGGTGTTAAAGGTGTGCGCCACCACCGCCGGGCTTAGGGGAGGACTTTTTAAGATCATTTTTGACATCGCGCAAAGCCCTGGGGTACTGAGAGGCCAAAGGGGGTGTGGCAGGACACGCCCGTAAACCAGGCTCTCTCATGCCAAGGCAGGCGGAGTTCTGGTTCACTGATAGCCTGGACTGCATGGTTAAACACCCAAAATGAAACAGCTGGGTTGGGGGAACAGCTGGAGCTGATTGATTACGATACCAGTGTGGGCTGAGTTGTGAGATCCTGGGAACCTGAGTGCCTGCTGGGACCATGCAGAACCCCAGGGGTCCAGTGTGCGGGGAGAACCCCAGGGGTCCAGTGTGCGGGGAGAACCCCAGGGGTCCAGTGTGCGGGGATGCGGGAGACCTGGGTCTCTAGGCACAACCGCTTGTACTCCGTCCAGCCTCCGTTCGTTTGGTGGTTGCTGTTGCTTTAATCTGTAGACTCCTGTGTTCCCCCTGAAGTCTCCCCAGCAGATGCGTAGTGGAGACAGGTGGGACAGCGGGAGCAGAAGAGACTGTACGACTCTCCCTGGACTCGTCCCCTCTCCCTCTCCAGGCCGCATAAATGTCAAGAACGAGGAGCTGGAGGCCATGGTGAAGGAAGCTCCAGGGCCCATCAACTTCACGGTCTTCCTGACCATGTTTGGGGAGAAGCTCAAGGGTGAGTGGGCTCCTGCGGGCCTGTGGAAGGGTTGGGAGCAGGAAGCAGATATGCCCGCCTGCCCGGCTCTTATGCGTTGCATAGCCACAGATGCAAACATCCCAAGTCTCCCGGGAAATATCCTCTGGCTGTGCACACTGGCCTGGACTCTGCCTCAGTTTCCTCCTCAGTGGAGAGCCCTGAAACGACCTCTCCCTGGCTGACAGAACCACACGCCCCCTCTACTCCCAGTCCCCCTCTGCCTGCCACTCTGCCCTCCTCCCATTCTAACCCCCCCCCCTGCTCTCCGGCCTCTATCGATGGTGACAGGGAGGCAGAGGGATACTGTGGCGCCAGCGCCACAAGCAACTCCAGGGTATCAGGAAAAGAGAGACCAGACGTCCAGCTGTTTGTACTAATAGAATGCATGTGCTGCCTTTATTGCCAGGAGAGTGTGTATGTGTGTCTTCATTACAAGTGCTAAGAGGTCTCTCCCTTGTAGGAGGGAGGAGCTTTTTATACAGGTTTACAGCACAGTGGAAAAAACCCCAGGTAGAAGAGATCGTTGTTTTCCTCCTGCTGGATGTTGATGTCAGAGGGTCAAGGCCAGGGCAATAAGCCAGGACTAGAAAACAGAAAGCACTTGGACTGGAAAACAAGTTGCCCTTGTAGGCTGACCAGCAAACTCACAGAGACCCCATGGGGCTGGGGCCCAACAGAATACTAGAAGGGAATAGGATTTCCGAGATCAACCTGCGACCGACCCCATGGCTGGGCAGGTTACTTCCCTTGCCCTGCTGTGGACTCAGTGTGGTCTCCAGAGAAAGGATTGGGGAGATTTTCTCAGCGCTGAGGAGGAACTCAGTGAGTTTGCCATACCTGCCCCAGGTACCCCAGCAAAAGAAAACTCAAATAGACCTCAGTTCTAGCTACTCCATACTCCTGAGACATAGCCCCAGACCTGGGGCTAGAAGATGGGTCACCTCTGGTCCTCTTCTCCTTGGCCCTGGGAGCTCCCTGTAAACACATCCCTGAGCTTGAGGGTTCTGTGGTGGAATAGAATTCCTGGCTGCCCCTAACCTTTCGGGTTAAGATCTGGCCTCCCTTACAGAGTGAGGGACTGATAATGAGTGGGCTGATTTGCTTTTTGTACCTTGGTATTTTAGTAGAGCCCTTGCCTGGAATATTCCGCTCAGAGTTAGGGGTGTGACTCAGTAGCGGAATCCTTGCATAGATCCCCCAGTGAGGGGCTGAGGACATGGCTGAATGGTAGAGCCCCTGCCTAGAATACCCTCTCCCCTGTGAGAGGCTGGGGTGTGGCTCAGTGGTAGAGCACCTGCTAGAATCCCCTAGTGAGGGGCTGGGGTGTGGCTCAGTGGTAGAGCTCCTGCCTAGAATCCCCTAGTGAGGGGCTGGGGTGTGGCTCAGTGGTAGAGCTCCTGCCTAGAATCCCCTAGTGAGGGGCTGGGGTGTGGCTCAGTGGTAGAGCTCCTGCCTAGAATCCCCTAGTGAGGGGCTGGGGTGTGGCTCAGTGGTAGAGGCAGAGGATGGTGTCTCCATGTCTGGTGTGACATGTATATGGGAGATGACCAGGAGTTCATTTAGGATTCTTTTGGGTGCTCACAGGAAAGGGCACCACTTGTAGCAGGGACGGCCTGTTTTAAAGACAAGGAGACTGAAGCATGAGGCTCACTTAGTCTGTGGCTAAGTCAGAGTGATGATGAGGGCTGGGGACCTCAGACTACAGCTTGTTCTCATCTTTGCTGGGGTTCCAGGCCTGGGGCTCCAGCTGAGCCTGTCATGCAAGCTTGTCTAGGGCTGCGTGAGAGCCGGCAGTGGGGAGGACAGGGGGCTGGGACATCACGGCTGTTAATTGAGGCAAGGAAACTGTCCTCTGACTTCCCACAATGGCAGGCAGCCACTGTACAGGGCTTTTTATGGGTCTTCCAGGCCTCAGAGCAGAGGCCCTCTCTGGGAACAAGGCAGGGAGTGGCTGGTTGAGGTGAGTGTGACTCAGCCAGGCCAGGGCTAAGGAAATCCAGGGCTTGGTCCCCTGGAAGACGGTGGGGGCCGACTGCAGACCAGCTCCAGGCCAGGACTCTTCAGAGAGACATTGGGGCCGTTAGCTAATTGATGGAGTTGGGAAGCGGCGGCCTTGGACGCTGGGACTCTGGCCAGCCCCTATCAGGACCCCTACACCCCTATAGTCTTTCTACCTTAGGCTACCTGCAACTCTGCTGCTAAGCCCACCTGGGGTGGACACTTGCTCTGTCACTGTTGAGAGGACAAAGCTCTTCTTCCCAGGAGACAGAAGTCTGTAGAGAAGACACAAGGGTCAGACCCACTCTGATAGGGACACACACAGAGGCCTGGCATTTTCTTACAGGGGAGACACTCAGGTCCCTCGTGTAGTCTGATGGGGGAGGCACAGAGAGCCCTGGCTTAGTCTAACGGAGGAGACAGACAGACCTGATTCATTCTGATGGGGAGATGTGAGGGCCCCGCCCCAGGCTGGTGGGGAGACCCAGACAGCTCCATTCCAAGCGGTGAAGCTGCAGGCCTGGAGCTGGGCCCAGAGCAGAGATGGATCTGAGCTCTGATTCCCTGGCATTCATCAAAGCCTACCATTAAGTTGTGGCACACACTTGTAATCCCAGTACTTTTGGGGAGGGAGGCAGGAGGGTCAGGAGTTCAAAGCCAACCTCAACTATACAGCAAGTTCTAGACCAAGCTGAGTTATATGGCATGTAGTCAAAAAGAAAACACACACACACACACCACACACACACACACACACTCACACACCACCACACACCACACACACCACACACACACCACCACACACCACACACACATACACACACACACTCACACACCACACACACCACACACACCACACACACATACACACACCACACACACACCACACACATACACACACACTCACACACACCACACACACATACACCCCACCACACACCACACACACACATTCACACACCACACACCACACACACTCACACACCACACACACACCACACACACATACACACACCACACACACACATACACACACCACACACATACACACACTGACACACACTCACACACATACACACACTCACACACACCACACATACACGACACACACATTCACACACCACACACCACACACATACACACACAGTCATACACACCACACACACACACACACACACACACAAACACAACCACCACCACCACCACCAACAAAAACCCCAGCAAAACAAAATGGAATTCCAGCCATTAGCAGCCATTAGCCAGCTGGTCCTGCATATTCTGTGGCAAACACATCTTTGATCCCATGACAGTGCAGGGCCTTGAAGGAAGGGAAGGACTTCCCAGGTCCTGTTTGAGCCAGGTGTGGGACAGCATGGTGAGGAAAAAGTCCTGAGTAAGGGATGTCAGGTCACCCGCTGTCATTCAGAGAGACTGGAGGCCTTCAAGCCCTTTTCCCTGGGCCTCAGTTTCCCCATCAGTATAAAGAGAGGCCTGTGCATTGAAGATCTCTGGTGGCTCCAGAATTCCTTCTGTCTACTTCCTCCTCTTTCTTTCCCATAATTTCTACCTAACCTGTTTTGTTCTGAGGGAGAATCTAGGGCCTTTTACATACCAACATAGCACATTGTTGACAAACCTTGCTTCTGGCTCCTCACTGGGGAATTCTAGGCAGGGGCTCTACCACTGAGCCACACCTCCAGCCCCTCACTGAGGGATTCTAGACAGGGGCTCTACCACTGAGCCACACCCCTGGCCTCAGATTAATTTATTTTGGTAACAATTTTGCTCAAAGTCACAAAAGTGATACAGTGGAAACTGTTTCCAGAGCTTGGGGGTTGGGCTGCATACATTTAGTTGCAAATAACTTGCCCCACTATACATAGACTCCCTGACAGAGCATTTATTATGCTCTTCACTCCCCTGACAACTGTCCCCATTTCATAGATGAAGAAACCGAAGCTCAGAGAGGTTAGGAGACTTGTAAGGTCTCGAAGCTGATATTATTGAATGATCAACACAGTCTGGGGTAAGGGAGCAGCAACCATGAGATTCATTCACACTCAAGTTATGAACAGAGGCTGTAAGTGAAGGAAAAAGAGCCCTGAGCTTGGGGGCTGAGGATGGAGCTCAATGAAGAGGTCTTCAAGAGCGGGCCACCCAAAGGTGATAGGTGGGCCAATGAGCTGGGTGACAATGAGGCTGGACTATCTCCTCTTGTGCTACTTTTGTGGCTTTGAAAAAGTTGCTACCGAAATAAATTATTCAGAGTCTGGAGGTGTGGCTCAATGGTAGAGCTCCTGCCTAGAATCCCCCAGTGAGGGGCTGGGGTGTGGCTCAGTGGTAGAGCTCCTGCCTAGAATCCCCCAGTGAGGGGCTGGGGTGTGGCTCAGTGGTAGAGCACCTGCCTAGAATCCCCCAGTGAGGGGCTGGGGTGTGGCTCAGTGGTAGAGCACCTGCCTAGAATCCCCCAGTGAGGGGCTGGGGTGTGGCTCAGTGGTAGAGCACCTGCCTAGAATCCCCCAGTGAGGGGCTGGGGTATGGCTCAGTGGGAGTTGGGGATGTTCCCCCTCTCCCAACCCCTGCCCAGCTTGGCACCACCTCTGATAGGGGGCCTCACCACCCTTTCATTTCCTTGTCCCTTATGTGCTACCCCTAGGCACGGACCCAGAAGAGACCATACTGCATGCCTTCAAGGTGTTTGACACTGAAGGAAAAGGCGTCGTCAAGGCCGACTTGTAAGTTCTCAGGACTTGCCCTGAGGTGGCAGCCCCGGCTCCTCCCCCCTCAGAACTCAGCAGAGCAGGGCTAACTCCATCCAGTGCCTGGAGACCGCGGCCAGGCCAGTGTGGTTCCTCCTCATATGTCTTCCCTCGCCCCTCGGCCTTGGTGACCCCCTCGCCTGAGTATGGAAGTGGACGGGCAGTGTGGCGGGGGCCAGGGAGGGCTTCTGAGTGTTGGGGATGGAGGGGGGTGGGGTGGGCCTTGGAGGATGAGTACAGGTTGGCCAATCTAGGGTGGGAATGGTATTCTGGATGTGAGAACAGAGGATGAATCACGACCTGGTGTGCGTGGATTGCTGAGCTGGCCTGGGGGAGACGGAAAGCCCGGATCGTGGGAGAAGTGGGAGGGGTCACGGCCCATGGTACTCCTGAGAAGGGAAGGAGTGACCAGCAGAGACCCAGAAGTCAGGGCCAGTGAAACACGGGGTTTGAGAAGAGCACAGGGCCAGATGGGGGCATCGGTGACCAGCTCTGCTTGGGATGCCTGGGTGGAAAGTGGCCACGGGCAGCTGTCCTGCGGGCCCTTGGGCTGGCATCTCAGAGGTGGCCTCTCTTGTGATGACCTGTGTCACACACACAGGAGCACGTCCTAGTGAGAGCAGAGAGGACAAAGAGCCAAGGTCAGGGTCCCTAGAAGCTGGGCCAACCTCCAAGGTGTCCCTTGCAAACCTTGCTGGGCTCTAAGGTGGCCCTGGCTGGTACGATGACCCCTCCTTATCAAGGATAGGACGGTATACGCAGGCATCCAGCGAGAGCCATTCCTGAGGAGCTCAGACGCCGATGGGTCTGGCTGCGGAGCAGATGGGGTCTGGTGGAGACAGAGGTGCATGTCCCCTTGTTACATGCTGTCATCAAAGGCTCTGAGCCAGGCTCCCCGGAGTGCAGAGGGACTACCCAAGTGCCAAGGGTACATCAAACCCAACCCATCCTTGGGGCCGCAGCTCATTCCTGAGTCTTGAGGTGCCAGGGACTCCCTTCTCTCCCAGGAACATGAAGATAAGGGCTGAGGTGGGGTGAGGAAGGGGTGTCCCTGGGCCACTCATTTTGGCAATGAGTGGGATGTGGGGACCTAGAACACCGGGCTGCCGGCCAGATAGGCCACAGAAGTGGCTCTGGATGAAACAGTGTCTGCAAAGTCCCCCGCTTCGGCAACTGTGACTGTCCCATAGTAACAAACAACGGAAAATGTGTGTCGCTCCCTTAACCAGGGCCTGACACCGCCGGCGCCAGAGGGTGTCTTGAGAGCAGAGGCTCCGCTTGGCTCTCTGATCCCATCCTTGCCCTCGGTACCTCCCTAAGCTTGCAAACCCCCTTCTCAGTTGCAAGGGACGTAAGTTCTCATGCAGAGCTGGGTGCTGGCCCCACCTCCAGCAAAGTACACCTGACCCCAAGGAGACAGGCCCAGCCCTGCCACAGCCTCCCTCTGAGATGGCAGCCAAGTCAAAATCCCTCCCAAGCCCCAGTTTCTCCCCAGATAAAGGGGATTCTTGCACTAGTGTCCCAGGTCAGCGAAGAATCGAGTTCTAAAGAGACCCACGGGAAGACTGGGCTTCACCTTCCCATGATGCTCTTGGCCTTGGACAGCATGATGGAGTCTGGGAAAGACTGGTCAGCTGAGCCAAAACAGCTGGAAGAGGCATCAAGGGGTAGTCAAGGTGGGGATAGGCTGGCCATTCCAGCTACTCTGAGGCAGGAGATTCAAGGCCAGACTGAGTTACAAAATGAGTTCAAGGCGAGACGTCTCAAAACAGGAAGCAAAAAGAATCTGGGTAGAGGCAGCACACGCCTTTAATCCCAGCACACGGAGGCAAAGCTTGAGATCACCCTGGCCTACAGAGACAGTTCCAGAACATCCAGGGCTACATGGAGAAACCCTGTCTTGAAAAAGGGAAAAATGCAGCAAAAAAGGAAGGAAGGAAGGAAGGACTAGGGATATAACTTGAGGGTAGAGTGCCTACCTTGAGTGACTCAATGAGGGACTGGGGTGTGGCTCAGTGGTACAGTTCCTGCCTAGAATCCCCCAGTGAGGGGCTGGGGTGTGGCTCAGTGGTAGAGCACCTGCCTAGAATTCCCCAGTGAGGGGCTGGGGTGTGAGTCAGTGGTAGAACACCTGCCTAGAATCCCCCAGTGAGGGGCAGTAGAACATTTGCCTAACATGGCCCAGGTCCTAGGTTCCACCCCTAAACAGAAGACATAGGAGCCCCCCCCCAGCAGTGTAAGGTTGGTTGTTAGCACGCCCTGGTCATCTCAATGGCCTCCAGGTCATGCTGGAGTCTCAAGATGATTCCCTCTGTCCACCATTGTTGCTAGAGGAGTGCAGGTTGCAAGAGAAGCAGTTAGGACACGAAGAGATACCTTGGGGCTGGGGTCCCCTGGGCCAGAGCTCACGTGGCCACCAGGCAACCCTTCCCCAAGACACGATGGCTTCTCTCCTGCAACAGCATTAAAGAGAAGCTTATGACCCAGGCTGACCGGTTCAGTGAGGAGGAGGTAAGTGTGGGCTTTGGGGGACATTCCCATGATCCCCTGCTCTGACTCCTCCTTCTTCCAGCACCCCCATTTAACCCGACCCTCCGCTGCCCCCAGGTCAAGCAGATGTTTGCAGCTTTCCCTCCTGATGTCTGTGGCAACTTAGACTACAGGAATCTGTGCTATGTCATCACACACGGCGAGGAGAAGGACTAGAAGACGTGCCTCCTCCACACCTGGAGTCAGCCAAGACTGGCCGGGAAACAGTCTCCATCACCCCAGCCCAGCCCCGGAGTCTGGGGCTGGAGTGGGAATAAATAACACAGAGATGTACATCTGGGTGATGCTTGCGTGCTCTGGTCGGGCAGACAGTGAAACGTTCCCCTCCTTGCTAGTTTTTTTTTCTCCCAAAACATTTGGTTCCCTAGCTCTGCTCAGCTGTCCCTGATGAGCTGGTGTTTAGAAGTAATGGATGGTTTTAATGCCCCCATCTGGACCACGGGGCATTGCCTTCATCGATGGGGGCAGTTTTATTGAGCACCTAGCGTCTGTGAGTCGCCTGGAAGAGACAGGGTTGTTCACGTGCAGTAAGGGTCACAAGGATCACAGGGAGAAAGATTCTCAGACGAGCCAAAGCTGGGGCAGAGCAGGGATGGGGAAAAGGTGGGGTAGGAAGGGGGGACTGGGCAGAGGTAGGGGCACAGGCCAAGTTGGAGAGGAGGAGAGATGGGTTCCGGACACTTAAAGGTAGGCAGAGAACTCTTCACCCTGGCGCACACGGCTCTGAAGATAGACTAGCCTGAGCTAAAGGGACTCCGCTGTGATTAGCAATGTGAAAAGGCCAGACAGGCCAGAAGATTCTGGGGGCACAGAGATCTTGACAAAGGTTCCCCAGCCCTGCTGCGTGTGTGCGTGCGTGCGTGCGTGCCTGAAACACACGTGTAGAAGTCAGAGGACAAGTGTGGGCAGTGGTCTCTCCTTCACCCTCTGGGTCCTGGCAATCGAGCTGAGGTCTCGGGCTGGCAGCGAGTACCGTTACCCACTAAGCCATCTCACCAGCTCCTCGCTCCCCCGCCCCCGCCCCGCCCCGCCCCGTCCCGCCCCGCCCCACCCCAGTAAGGAGACAGCGGAGAAAACAACCTGGGAAGGATTTGTGTTGGCTCACATGTTCAGAGTGTTCAGCCCATGACGACTGCAAGTGTGAGGGAGGCCAGGGCTATGGACCCTGTCTCGGATGAACGAAACACAGGAGATGGGGGGAGGGAGGGTGATGAGGAAGAAAAGAGAGGAGGGAGGGAGACAGAGACAGATGGACAGTCAGACAGACAGACTTAGGAAGTAGGGAGCCCTTGGTATTCTCGTCCCTCAGCGGAGGGGGCGAGAAGGGTCCCTTATCAGCTCCTGGCCTGGGCTTCTAGACGAGTCCTTTCTCCACCCCAGCCTGGCTCCCTGCTTTCTAAGACTGGCTTTCCTGGAAGTGGTGAGCTGAGCCCTGTCTACACCACTGAAGACTTGCCAGACCCGTTTGTGTCCCACGGTAGGAAACAGGGCTGCAGAAAGTGGGTGCCTCGGGCAACCTCTGACACCCCCTTTCTTGAGACTCTGCCTCCCTGGCTGCAGGACCTGCCATCCTCCAGGGCCCTGTCTCCCTAGGGAAGCCGGCAGCCAGTGTAGAGGGGGAAGGGATTCCCCAGGGTAAAGAGGAGGTATGTGTGGGGAGGCTCTCACCCTCCTCCTTCCTCTTCCTTTCTTCGTCTGTTTACCCTGCCAGAGTGCGGTGGTGATCACTTAAACCAGTTAAAACTGTGTGGTGAGCTCAAAAGGGACTTAGTGAGACCCCCTCTCAAAGTGAACACTAAAAACATGTCTGGGGTGTGGCTCAGTGGGAGATTGCCTATCTAGAATCCCCCAGTGAGGGGCTGTGGCTGTGGCTTAGTGTAGAGCACCTGCCTAGAATCCCCCAGTAAGGAGCTTAGTGTGTGGCTCAATGGTAGAGCACCTGCCTAGAATCCCCCAGTGAGGGGCTGGGGGTGTGGCTTAGTATAGAGCACCTGCCTAGAATCCCCCAGTGAGGGGCTGGGGTGTGGCTTAGTGTAGAGCACCTGCCTAGTATGCTTGAAACCCCGGGTTCAATGCTCAATTCTGCAAACAACAACAAAACCAGCTTAAGAACTTCTTGCTGTGCTCCTACTGCTCCTGCCGCTTCCTCTGGACACAGGGCCTTTGCTTACGGCGACTCCTCTGTCTGGGACACTCTTTCGCTCTGTTACTCCAGCCTGGCTATGGTCTCAGGTCGGTGACATGGGCATAAATCCCAGACACCTTCCAGAACACTTGGTACTTAAATTCACGTATTATCACTCGCGTGTGTGTTCATGCCCGCACGGCACCAGCTTGCATGCCCGTGTGGAGTTCAGAGGCAACTTAGGTGAGTTCTTTTTCTACTCCGGGGTGGAGCTCAGGTCACAGGCTCAGGGAAAACACCCTTTCCCCACTGAGCTAGGGAACTGGCCCACCCGGTTGCTGGGAATTGAAAGTCCAAAAGAGTGGGATTTGGGTGGTGGTTTGCTCACCACAAGTCTCTAGACCCCCATAGTAGGCCAGTTGGATGGCAGAGTCAAAGTTTGCCCATCTCTAGGATACCCAGAGAACCAGCCTCAAGCCCCAAGTCCTGTGGAGGCCTCTCTATGTGGCCAAAGCTGGAAATGCATTTTGTTGTAGGACTGAGCCCTCCCTAGGGCCTCACCAAGCCTGCCTGGCCCATCTAATCTCCAGTCTCCCCGTAAGCAGAATGGACTCAGATGTCCCCTGGCGTCTTAGGCACGATCACGGCTTAGGGTAGCAGTTAATCCAACACTGAGGCCACTTTTCCGTTTTTCTTATAAACTGACCAAACTGGATCTCCTAGAATGCTTGGTGAACCCTGACCAGACCTGGTAGGTGATGGGCTGCAAGCCGGGACAGGCCTTCGGGTCCCCAGAGAGCTGGAGCAGGGAGTTGGCCCTGCCCAGGGCCTCAGCCGGCTCCCCCAGCCAGCTGTATCTCATTGAGGATAATTAGCCCAGCCAGACGCCTGGCTCTCGGTCTCTCATTTTCCACTCAGGATTCATCCGCCGGGGGCCTTCGGACAGTGGCCCCCACATATAAATCAAGAGGGGGTCGCTGTTAAGAGAATGGGGACATTCTTTCCACCCGTGTGGCTGGCTAAATTGCCTCCAAGAGTAGATTCTGTCCTGGCACCCACTCAAGAATGGCCAAGGCCTTTGAAGGCCCTTCCAGGATGGACCCCAGGGGTTTGAAACTGGCTGTGCAAGCGAGAATCTCTCTGGGAGCCTTTGCTGACCACAAGAGGGTGGGGCCTCTAAGGGATAACATGGTAGAAGAGGGACAGACCTTGCTTGACACGAGGCACCCCCGTTATGGGGTCACCATAGCAACTTTGGAGGAGACGACATCTCTCTATCTTTTTGATGGTACAGGAGATGGAACTGGGAGTCCCTAAATGCTAGGCAAGTAAGTGCTCTATGATTGAGCCATTTTCCCAGTCACCTTACTGGGGGATTCTAGGCCAGTGGTCTACCACTGAGACTCACTCAGCTCCTTACTGGGGGATTCTAGGCCAGTGGTCTACCACTGAGACTCACTCAGCTCCTTACTGGGGGATTCTAGGCCAGTGGTCTACCACTGAGACTCACTCAGCTCCTTACTGGGGGATTCTAGGCCAGTGGTCTACCACTGAGACTCACTCAGCTCCTTACTGGGGGATTCTAGGCCAGTGGTCTACCACTGAGACTCACTCAGCTTCTTACTGAGGGATTCTAGGCCAGTGGTCTACCACTGAGACTCAGACTCACTCAGCTCCTTACTGGGGGATTCTAGGCCAGTGGTCTACCACTGAGACTCACTCAACTCCTTACTGGGGGATTCTAGGCCAGTTGTCTACCACTGAGACTCACTCAGCTCCTTACTGGGGGATTCTAGGCCAGTAGCCTATCAGTAAGCATGCCCAGCATTGCCGGGACCCATAGGCATTCTACTACTACCCCCAACCCAGCACATGAATTCAGTGCCCATGGAGGCCACAAGAGGGCGCTGTCTGAATTATATGCTGAGAACTAAACTTGGGTCCTATGGAAGAGAACTACGTGGACTTGACCACCGAGGCACCACGTCATCTTTCCAGCTCATTGATCCCAATGTCTTTCAGTAGTGAGGCTGACCCTGAACTCCACAGTGGCAGGTTGGCGGCAGGGAAGGGCGGCTGTTTACAGGCATTCAGAAAGACGAACTCCAGATAATGCGCAGTTTGTGGCCCGGCACCCACCAAAGCTGAGAGTTGATCTTCCTGAAAACCAACTTCCTGGTGACTTAAGTACCCACTCAGGGCCTCAGAGATGGACGTTTTGCACATGACACCCTGGGCCATTCCGTGAAGTTCTGTGAGGCCACGCGCACCGTCAGCACCCACGCCCTTTCCTCTCTCGTGCTGATCGTGCGCTGGCCGGAGCAGGACGAGATTGGGGAAGGAGGAGGCGGCTGGTCGGCGGTGCCGCAGGGGTCATGGCCCATCCCTGTCTCTAAACGCCCGACTTGCGTGGACCGAGAGCCTGACTCAGCAGCCTCGGAACACAAGGCTATCCTGGGGGCTGGGCAAGCAGGGACACAGCCCTTGGACAGCTCTGGTCCTCCTAAAGCAGCAAGGTAAAGGCCCTTAGCACCTTCTTCGCCTTTCCACGGCCCAGCCACAGTCACGGAGCCCACAGCAGGCAGGGACAGAAAGGCGCACACAGAAGCCAGCTCAAGTCCCAGCTACCGGCCTCCCACGTTCTTACCCAAGGCGCGTTATCCGGGCACCGGGTGCTAACGTCTGTGTTTGGAGAGGGTGGGGCATCGGGACCCAGACTTCTTGGTGCCATGGGGATACTGGATAGGAGTGGCGGTGGGCGCAGTGGTGGGAGGAACAGGCCATGTGGAGCTACCGTAATCCAGAATTTAGCTTCAAAGCCTGTGCCTGCCACTTCATCGGAATGTCCACCCACAGGGTGGAGGCAGGGCAAGTCTGGCTCCCATCAAACTTCAGAGAGTTGCTGTGTCTTGTTTGGCTGGGAGGCCGTGTGGCATGGGGACCAGATCAGGGATCTCAGTGGGGGCATGTAGGGTCACGCAGCCTCGGTTCTGCTTCTTAGGCTGTGTTTGTTGCCTCCAGGTCACCGACAACGTCTCTGGGTCCCCGTACTACCCCTCAGAGAGATAGGACGCATGCCCACCCCCACTCCCACCCTCCACCCCGAGCCCTCTGCTGGAGCTCGCTGCAGAGCCTGGCGCCTGGGCTG